TAACTAACAAGGAGCCGTCTCAGAAGCCCCTCCAGATACTTCTCCTCCCTTCGCTTTGGTCAGAATTGCTTCTCATGTCTATTCCTCAACCAACTACTGATAGGCTGACAATTATTACAGCTGGCTTGACCTGATCCAGATTCATTCCCCTTGGGGCTAGCTGCAGGCCTGAGGTTCTTGGCCACCCAACATCTGAACAAAATCAGTTCTATGAACAAAAAGGAAGGGGCAGAACTGCTGAGTGGTGAATAACCAATGTCTGCTATAATTACTCACGCTAACCTGCATAACTGGAAGAGAAAGTTCAAACAAACTAAAGGACCAGACTCTGAAAATGTGGACTTCTTCCTCACCATCACCAAATCAATGGTTTGTATAGACAAATCCAGTCACTTGTCAAAGTAAGAGGAAATGGCCCCACCACACAGCAGACTCTCATTTCTGGGGTTTGACTCCTAAGGAGACACATAGGGTGGCTTCATTCCAAGCCTCTCTGGGTCCTTTATAACCCAACTATCTGGACAATTTGTTCAAAGGCATCTCAGTTTGGAATGGATGCTGTTTTCCTGGCCTGCCAACAATACTCAACAAAGCGAAGATGAGTCGGAGGCATAATGCCTTAAAATCATGTCTGCCTGACCAGTATTTCCTAAGTCAAGTAGGTCCTACATTTGGAGCCTTATTTTGCCCCTGCGGCTTTTTCCAACTGTAGAGCCTCTCTGATGAAATGGTAAGCTGAGCTCTCAGAATTCTCACTGAGTATAAAAGGAAAAAAATGAGAGTTCAGGGTCTGCCAAGGAGGAAGAGCACTGGGAAACGCCTCAAGGATTCTGCCATGTCCTGGACTGAATGGTGTCCCCTAAAAATGCATGTCCGCCTGGAACACCAGAATGTGACTTTATTTGGGAAAAGGCTCTGCGCAGATGAAATTAGTTAAAATGAGGACCCACTGGAGTGGGGTGGGAACTAAATCCAGTATAACTGGTGTTCCTTTAAGGAGAGGAGATAGGGAGACACAGACACAGGAAGGAAGGCCACGTTTAGACAGAAGCCAAGCTTGGAGTGATAAAGCTACAAGCCAAGGAACGCCAAGGATTGCTGACGCCTAGAACTGCTGACAGCCACCAGAAGCTAGGAATGCATTCTCCCTCAGAGCTTCCAGAAGGAACCAACTCTGCTGACACCTAGATTTTAAACTCCTGGCCTCCAGGACAGTGAGAGAACAAATTTCTCTCTGTTGTTTTAAGCCACGCAGGGTGCAGGAATTTATTATAGCAGCCTAGGAAACTGATATAAGCTGGAAACCCCAAAGAACTACAGGCTAGAAATAAAGCAGAAGCAGAAACACACCAGCCCTCACAGATGCTGAAGCCCAAGTGTGAACTGGCTCGATCCGGGGCTGGATCCGATTGATCTTCCTCTGCTCTGATGGCCTGAAAAGGAACAGTGAATCCCCTCTGAAGAAAGATAACATCATCCCAAGCTTCGAATCACCTCTACAATTCTTCATACACAACATCTGGCATTCAGGCATGTGCAAAGATAGGGATGTATTCAAAATCAAGATGAGAACAAAAAATAAGGGACTTTTGGCTACGGCCAAATGAGAAGGTTAACAAATCCTCTCCCCCAAAGGCAACTATAAAACTGGACAAAACTGACAAAAACAACTGTTTTAGCACGCTAGAAACTGACTTCAAAGGCTTACAATCTGAGAGGTTTTTATACTTAAAAGCTACTGAATTTTAGATAAGAGCGGAGGGAACAGTAACGAAAGTGCACCCAACTCTCTATGGCGAGCGTCAGGGAGAGGTGGGGGCTGTGGCACACGAGGACACTTCTGTCCCATCTACATAGGGAGGGGCCCTGCGTTCCAGTCAAAGTCAATGGTAAATGTGGGCCCAGTGTCACATATCCTAAGATTTAAGAAGAGCTAGAAAGCCATATTTCAACATAACATCTCACAATTTTTAAACATTGGCAACTTTAAAAAGGTATTTTCATGTACACTGTACAAGGTGCCTGTTTCTAAACTCGGTTCTGCATATGCCCTAAGCCGCGATGACCAAACGCGGCCATGCCTCTGACAGACTCGCAGTACTATCTGCTGTACTGTGATATCCAACAGTGTCATTCCGTTCAGCCATTACTTTGAAGTTCAGCTTTTCCCTCTTCTAAAGGTAATGTTCCTCATCTGTAAACAAAGCAAAGGCAACAGCCTTACAGATTAACCCCCCGTTTAGTCTCTCCTGTCACTTTCAATTCAGTTAACTGAGCTAGAGTGGTCTATGGAGGAGCACTGACGGGCACCAGGCCTGATGCTAGATGAGGGGGTGGCAGGGAAGAGCCAGGAATCTGACATTGGTCTGACCTGGGTTGGAATCCTCAGCTATGTGAACTTGGGTAACTTATTTAACTTATTTGAGTCTCCTTGCTATCATGTAAAAAACAAAGACACCATCATCTCCCCAGGAAAGTTACTGCCATGCTGTCATCAAGCACCAGCTCTAGCAGCTCTGTACCAAGGCCCGGGCTTCGCAGGCACTTTCTCATAGAGTCCCCACCACTCCCCCACCCCCCGCAAAGCAGGGTCTGTTATTAACTTTATTTTACGCATGAGGAAACAGAAGCTCAGAGAGGGGGTTCCCAGAGAGTCACGTGTGACTAGTCGCTGAGCAAGGATTTCAACCCTATCGCCTGACTCTAGAGTCCAATACAAAGCGCTAAGCTACAACAAGGGCCTGACCGGGCAGCCAGCAGGGACGAAAGAGCGGAGGGATGCGCATTCCACCCCGTCCTTCTCTTCGGATTTCACTTTCTTCATTCTGCTTGAAAGGGTCATTCCAATGGCTTTAACGACAGCCTCAAGAAGCCACTGATCTGCTCTTTCCCAACTTTCAGCAGTTAAAAGCCCACTTGCTCCCCTCTCTCATGAGGTTTTTAATCACACATTCAATTGCAAGAAAGAGCTTTTAATCAGCCTGGACCAGTGAATGGTTAATTAACACTGCCAATAGTGATGGCAGAAGCCCTTGGCAGCCACTCAAGGGCTAGGCCAGTTTGGTCTTTCCCCTGCTTCTAACTGTCTGCGAGGCGGCCCAGCTAGCAGGAAACAAAGCCATCAGTCTCTCCGGGATGCAGGTGCAGAAATCATGCTAAGATACAGGAAAGCGGCAAGAACGTGAATGCTGGAGGTGCCTTGTAAACACGTGGGTGCCTCTCTGATTATCGGGGCCAAGTAACAAAAAGATTAGAATTCTAGTCTGGATGGGAACAGAAAGAGCCACCTTCGTGGCCAAAAGGTCAAAGCTTTAGTGGGGATGAGATGGAGGAAAGGGTCAAAAGGTAAAAGAGTGCTGGGGAAAGCAGGACAAGCGGTTAAACATTTATTAGGTGCTCTGACTCGAAGCAGGTCTTTACATGAGATTCTCACCGAATCCTCCTGCAAGCCCCCAGGTAGATGAGATGATCCACCTTTACGTCAAAACAACTAAGGCTCCCAGCCTCCCCGGGGTCAGCCCAGACTTACTCTCACAGTCTGACTCCAAAGCCAGGGTCGCCCCCCTCATGGCCGGCAGCTGCCCTCGCCTGGATAGAAGCAGACCCAGAGCCTCCCCAGTTCATTAACGTAGCGCCCTGACAGACAGGTAAGATGGAAACGAGAAGAAATACAAGGGAAATGGAGGGAAAAGCTACGTCCTCGAACAACTCCCCAGTCAGCGTGGAGCCCTCTGCCATCTGCACGCAGAGCCTAGGGAAGCAACTTGGACATGAGACAATAGAGGCTGCCATTTGAGGTGGCCACGTAGTTGGCAGTGCCGTCTACAAGGCCTGAGGCCCTTGATGTTGGCTCTTCCCTGAACCAGCTCCCTACATCTCTGACTTTTAAAGGATGGACCTAGGAGCACAAGAGAAAAACCTACGGTGACAGGAATCCCTCTTGCAGCTGTCCCTTGACCCCAAGAGGAAGCACGTTCATTTCTGAAAATGAGCAACTGGTCAGATGAACAAGAGTCAAAGGTTCGTTGGAGGGCAGAGAGGAAAAGGAAGGGAGGTAGACCAACACGAGGGAGAGGGAAAGGCAAAGGGTTCAGCTGGCAGCGAATTTCCACAGACACCTCCGCCAAACACAGTGACGGCTGGTTTTTATCTGTGAAAGGAGGGGAACGAGCCCAAAATGACACATCTTACTCAGCAGTGACACATCAGAGTAACTGGAAAGATTCGCAAATTCAGGGCGACAACCACAGCAGGGTCTGAAAGAACCTTCCCTTTAAAATGTGGGGGGAGGGAAAGGACGTAGGATTTTTTTTATATGATATGAGAGACTTTAAGGCTCGAGTCCAAAGCAAACCACTGTCAACAGTGTCCTCATCTGTCCAGAGGGAAAAGTAAAGGTCCCTACTACTCACAGGGCTGTTGCAAGAACCGAACAAGTTAATTTAGACAGAAGACTAACAAAGTGTCAGGCCTGCACTAAATACTAGTAAGTGTTAATAGGTATTATTATTGGCATTATCCCTGTCATTCAGAGACATGGCCATGGTGCATGGGAAATGCTAAGGCAACTTTAAAATGGATGGTAGCAGAAATAAGCTCAGAGATCTGCATGCTTTCTGTTATTGAAGACAGATTTAATTATGAAATATTATGCTATCCCCATGCATAAAATTAAAACAGATTATTAATTTCCCAGCAACTGCTACACCACATTGGTGAAGCACCTTGGCTGCAGGCCCCGGAGGCCCTCAGAGACTACAACGCGTGGCTCTGAGAATTCTGTGCAAAGGATGACTTCATTTAAATGAAGATGCCAGACGACACCATTATCAACAAGTCAAACATCCACATGCATGGACTTCTGCACCACCAGGCCCCACCCCGCCCCCCACCAGTCCCATGCAGTCACTGCCTTGCTAGCTATTAGAAAATAAATAAAACGAAAAAGAGAGAGCAAGGAAAAAGACAGCATTCTCCGGGCGCACCTGGCCGGGCAGTACCTGTTTCGGTTTTGCTGGAGAAGCCCGCTGCCTGTTTGATTGCGGCCGCTGTTAACGCTAGTCCTCGGCTTCTCTTCAAGCCATGCTGCAGGACGGCCTCAAACTGGGCACACAGACAGGTCACCCTGCGAGAGAACCAATGATTCGTCAGTCCAGTGAAGGGAGATCACAACCAGGGTGGCCCCAGCATCTCCAGGGAGCAGATGAGTCGCCAGGTGTGAAGGTACACGCCAGGCACCTGGATCTACAGGTAACTGACATGTAGTTGGCTTGGGCCGCTCCACACGCCTCCCCGTGCAAGTTCATGTCACGTAACTCAGGGAAGTCCCACACAGTCTGGCCATATTCATGAACTGGTGAAAGCATAACAACAATTCACAAGGAACAAGGGAAAATGGAATTGGTACCAGCTAATTTCAGAGCAAATCAGTTCATTGTGGGGAAGGGTTGGTGTTAATTGTATCTGATTCACAGAATCAACTCAAATTCATATCTCATATAGTTTAAGGAACAAGATTATCTTCTAAGAGATTGAATTCACCAGCCTACCAAATTGAAAACATTGTATAATTTCATGGCCTGTTACATGCACTAAAGAAATAATATGAATTCTGATTCTTGTTCTTTATTCTGTTATAGGAGATTACACTGGAAAGTCAGATTCAGAGTTGGTGGAATTTTCAATTGAGTTACAATTACTGTGCATTTAATCAAATTCATTTCCAAATAACTAAAGAAATGGGAGATTTGGAAACACATTCACCAAGAGATGAGGTCACAGCAACTACACTTGATTCTTAACCGCCTTCCCTGGGGCTCCTACACCCCCCACACAATGGGGTCTGTGCACTTCAGAGACCCTTCCATTCATTTATGCAACAAATGTTAACTTCTCCCATGTGCCAGGCACTACTGGAGGCTCTGAGGATATGAAGATCTCCGTCTCACCGCATTTGCACAGTTCCAGCGAGGGAGATACACACACAAATAAGCTAACCAAACCACAAACCATTTTAGTTGATGAGAACTTTGAAAAAAATAAAACAGGTCGAGGTAGTAAGTGGAGACAGGGTAGGAACAGGCTTAGATTCTGTGATCTGAATGGAGGTAACTTTGGAGTTAAGACCAGGATACGACAAGAGGCAGCAAGTGCGACAGAGCAGCCCAGTGCAAAGGTCCTGAGGCCACCACCATCCAGGGCAACCTTGCCTGACTACAGGCATTTCCTGTTCCACCCACCCCCACACTCGTAGTAATAATACTCCAAGGGTTTATCGTTCTGTAGGTTGTAAAATATTTTCATACCCATGACTCATTAGCTCATCCCATCAACATTATGATACAGGTAAGAGAGGTATTATTATCTCCAAAGAAAATGAGGCTTAAAGACATTTAAGAGACAGCACACAATAAGTACATAATTAGCAGCAACATCTGTACTCCAGGCCTACCTACCCTCACAATGATCCGAGTGTCTGCTCCACCCCCTACCACCAAGACAAATACGTTTCGTTCTAAGACAAAAGTTCTCTCCTTTACTCATCTATCTACACCAGAAAACCCTAACACAGCATCGACAAATACCAGCACCTGTACATTTACTCTCGATGCTGTGCCCTTGACAGATATCACTTATCCATCCCAGCAGTCTAGGCTACCACTGCCAATGAGCAAAGCTGGTCCACTTGGCATCTCAAACCTAATACTAGTCCTCAGGTACACCATGGCTCCCAACTCCTACCTTGTCTTTCTGGCTCCCCTGCTCCTGGTGCATAGCATGTGCTCCATAAATGCTTCTTCAGTGGGTCAGTATATGGGTGATTAACCTTGAACCATGGGTCCCAGAATACTCCCCCACACTGAAACAACCCTTTTTGTCAGGCAGATGTCACTCCTAAATATTACATGTGCATAGGCTAGTCTCTCTGCATATCCACACAGGCACATGTTGGAGGGCTTTTGAAAGCTGGGACACCAAAACGGTCTCAAGTCCACAGGAACCAAAACAGAGGCATAGCAAAATGAAGCCTTAACAGGGCCCTGTCTCTGGGGGCTGGGAGGAAATCCTGGGCTATGTTTATAGCTCTCCAAAATAAACCACAGCCTATATCTGTAAACAAATCATCTACAAATACAATGATTAACTCAGCAATCCCTGTCTGTCTGCTCAGCTCCAATGCATGAGTCAGTAACTGCCCTGACAACTCTGGGTAATATACTGGGGAATGGAATGCAGGTGAACAGCACAAGCCCAGCCCCCAAGGTTTGGGTCACATCAGCAGTATCACCTTCCTGATGCACATAGGTCACGATCAACCTAACACAGCAGAAAACCCAGGTGGGCCCTAGTCCTGTAATTACTTCATTATGCTGCCTGCCTTACTTAACACCCTCCCCATGTCCCCTTTTCACCTCCCCATTTGAACTGAGCTTATATCTACTGGTCATTCAAGACTTCGTTCAAGGGTTTCCTCCTCCAGGAAGCCTTCCTCAATGCTTCCTCATTCTGAGCTTCTTTCTACTATAGCACTTGGCCAAACTCTGTTTCTGATTTGCTTTCCACAGCTGTCTCCTCTTGCTAATTTGAGCTCCCTGACAACAAGAATCATGTCTCATTCATCTTAGTTGCCCCCAGCATGTAGTACAATGCCTGGCTACTGTGGTAAACACAACCACATTGATCTTTCCCCTTGGGAAACTCAGAATATAGACTTGATGTCTATTTAGATAAGGGATGCATCTCAGGAGATCTCATATAATTTGCAATCCAAATCCAGGTCAGTAAAGACTAGCAAATCAAGGAGAATACACATGTCCAACCTCATGAATCTACAGCCCTTTAGTTTGTGGCGAGCACACAGTAGGCTATTTTTATGACCATGTCACCCTAAGGTTTTCCATTTCTTCCCATCTTTACTCAGTTATGAGATAATTTCTACAAAATAGAAGGGGAACCTGCTTTAGTTCAGCTCCTTATTTTCTCGTCTCAGGCTTTCCTGTTTCCCAGAATGCTCTCTGCTAAAGCCTCTCTGGCATCACAGTGGTGGGTTGGCTGTTATCTAACTTCTACAATACATTAATGAACTGGGGCATGTTTTTTAATTAAGTGGGACAATTAATCAACAGTGAATGTTTTAATGTTTTCAATAAGCACCAAACAAGGAAATCACTTCAAGTTTTTATGCATAGAGCTGTTTATCAGAGGAATGGAAAAACAAAATATGGTGCATTGATACGATGGAATACTATTGGCACTAAAAAGGAATAAAAGACTGCTATACGCTACAACATGGATAAGCCTTGAAAATATTATGTTAAGGGGAAGAAGTCAGACCCATAGAGCCACACGTTGTATGATTCCACAATATTGAGAAAAGGTAAATATATAGAAACTGAAAATCAATTAGTGGTTGCCTAGGGCTGGGAGTGAAATCAAGGATAAACTGTCAACGGGCACAAGGGAACTTTTCAGAATAAAAATGTTCTAAAACTGGATTGCGGTGATGGTTACACAATTCTGTAAACTTACTATTTTAAAAAATCACTGTGTTGTACACTTACAAGAGGTAGATTTTTATGGTATTTAAGTTATATTTCAATAATGCTGGATTTTTTTTAATTCTCTCAAGATGCTCAGTGAAAGTCTGATGACGGAGTGAAGGAGTTAATGTATGAAAAACAAAATAACTTCCTCTTGCTGAATTTAAAACTGTCCGCCAACACCAGCACAGCCGGACACTGCACAAGCTAAACTAGTTTACAGCTAAAATTCTGCACGCGCTGGTTTTCATGAGCTCTGGCCTATATTTCAAGACTGCTTAACCTGCCACATTAGTCTACAATAAGATTTCTAAGAATCCTGTGTGGGTTTTTTTTTTTTTATGGCAAATGTTAGAATAACATACAGGATCAGCAATAAATGCTTTGTTCTTACAAATTGCATCAAATTAATCTTGTGACAGAAGGGTATATTTCAAATTAATCCTTTTACTGTGTTACAGCTTTATTGGAGCCTTAAGGGAAAAACCAAGCACAAGCATGAAAATGGACTAGATTATCCTCATGTGGAAAGCTCCAATGTCACCTGGAATGGAGTCAACTGTACCCATAAAAATCAGCCAATTAGTGTTAGTCACATCGCAGACCTAAGACAGTACAATTACCAACTAGCCTTGCGAAACCAAGTCCATTACATGATGAACATTTAAAATGGGCCATACTCTACATTTACGTTTTATAAATTAAGGTTTCAAAAAGGTTCACACCCTTTAACCCATTAATTTTACCAGCAGAAATCAATCCTTGGCTGTAATTTACAAGTCAAATAAAGATGTAAGATAAAAATATTCAAAACAACATTATTGATACCAGTGGAAAGTTAAAAAACACCTAAATAATTAACAGTTAGGGAACTGGTTAAACAAATGATAGCACAATATATACTCGAATGCTATTTAACCCTTAAAAATATTTACCAAGAGCTTATAATGCTAAGCCAACATGTTTATAATACAATGTAAAATGAAATAAGAATGATATGAAACTGCATATTAAGTATGCTCTCAACTATGAAAAAAAAATTCTTGAGGGAATTATGTGAAAAAATGAAGAGCCTCTTGGTAAAAAAAATCAATGGTGATATCTTTCTTACACTATGTTTTTCTGAATTTAGCTTTTTTCTAAAATAAGCATTAAGAAAGTATCATGTCTCAAGAACCAGAAATATTGCTACTCTATGCTATCAGGAATGAAAAAATATTAAAAGTTATGGTGAGGAAAAATCATGCAACTATTTTAAATGTTTATAGAGAACTTGAAATAGCATTTTTTAAAGCTTAGGTTTATAATGGTAAGTGAAAAAAAGCAGATCTATAAAAAGTTATAAAAATGTTTCTAACCCACAAATAAAAAAATATTGCCCCCCGAAAAGAACTATAATATTAAAAGTTCATTTTTTTAAGTAGACAAAATGAGGGAGAGAAATTTCATTCATGATAGTAACATAAGTAAAATAAACCATGTTTTTAATAAGAAAGATACGTCATTATGTGAAAAAAATCATTATATTTTCTTAAAAGGTATAAAGGTCAAAATAAATAGAAATACAATTTTCCTAAATGGGAAG